ACAATTGTTGCGACACGGGATTCGTTTTTCCGTCGCGTGTTTCGGCCGATGTTGTTGTTAGGTACACATTGACGGTATACTCAGTGCTCGTACGCGCGCGTATAATATTACGTCCGGGACCGTATAATCAAGAAGATACGCGCAACGAGAGAGAGAAAATAACAACGTAATAATAAAAAGAAACCGCCGACCGTCGCATTGTTACGAATTCCTGCGAAAAATATTCTCAGCACACCGTCTGCCGGTTTCTCGTCTGCGCTGTTGTCCACGCGTCCGGATACAATCGGACGCGATACGCCGTTGAACTCATCGGGCAGAACCATAACGGGCAGCGTGCAACGAATTATTCGCGTGCGTTCGATCATATACCGCTCGTGTACATGCGAACGGATGTTTCCCCCCTCCCCCCTCCCCCGGTTTTTAATTGTACCTGTGTAAAAAGCCGCCGACGAATTCCTACTGACGTGCGAGCGTTATCGTCGCCTCTTGGCGCGGTTTACGTATTACGGGACGACACGTGAAATCGTACGCGGTCGATTCCGCCCCGCGAATATTTCGCGAACGGTCCTACAACGATGTTGCGAATCGATTTCGGTGCGAACGTCCCACCCCCCCTCCCCCATCCCCCAAACGGATTCCGGGTGGGCCGACTTCACGTTTCTTCAAAGTGCGTTTCGCCCCCGGATCCAGTGAGTATTTTAACGACGAAAGTATCGTTGCACGTCGTTCGGTCGGTATCGCGTTCGCGAGACGACACGATATTTACCGGTAAATCGATGTGTGCGGGTTTCACGCTCACGTTTCGCTCCCCAGAACGAAAACGTAAAAACGGTCCACGGTTTGTTAAAAAGTTCAGAGTTAATCGGTCCAATTCGCTTATTTACTCGTATACTAAATACATCCACCGCCCTAAAAAAAAGAAAAAAATTGGTCTGGTCATGACAACAGACTTGAACCCCGAATCCGGCGCCACCGTGTGCGTTGGTGTCGACGTCGACCGCGGGCATTTGCGCGAGGTGCAACACGCGTGGGCGTTCGTCCACAAGCCGTTCACCGGTCGGCTCCGAACGCGTTTCATTGTTCATTGTTGTTGTCGATTGCAGTGGAAAAAAATAAAAAACAGCAACCCCGAGGGCGACGTTAAGGCACGACTCGCGGTGCACGGGGAAAACTGTGAACGAATAGAGAAAAATGAGTTTTTGTTCGCTCGGTACACGCATAACCGACGTTCGATATTCGTACCCTAACAAGGACGTGAACATCCGGTCGGGGAAGAACACGCGCGGTTGACCCGTGTGACTGAGATAGATGCGCACGTGGTTAACTGACGAAACGGCAGTGGACGAACGTTTCTAATCGTACTGGGGCTGCAAACTGGCAGGCGCACCCTGGAACTGGATCCGTAATAGAACGCGCGTTTGTCGTACGGAAATCAGCAGGTAAAATATACTTGTAATGTTCACGATTTTTGTAACGTGGAATACACATTCGTGTGTGCCTACGTGTGAAGTGTGAGTTTCTTTTTTTTTTTTCGCCGAATCAATTTGTAGACCAACTACTGTTACGACACGGCCAGTAACGTATTCGTGTGTGTGCACAATGCGTTCATTTCCATAAAAATGATTTGAGCTGTTAAAAACACGTTTACCGATTGTTAATACGTTTCACGATTATAACGTGTACACGGATACCCGGTCCGTCGGCGGCAAACCGATTTGTCGGAGATTAGTTTCACGGGTACACCTACTGTTGAAATGAGTTAATTAAATATTTCGTTTTTAATACCAAATTTTCGTGCGGTGTATAATTATCGATCATAACTTAGGCGAGCGCGAGCACGTCGATCCAAATTTCGGTAGGACGCGGGCGGTAGACGCCCTAAACACGCTTCCAATGTAAATCAACGGAATTGCACTTCGAAATTCGTTCTTGAACGGTAAAAAAAAAAAAATGGTCACGACCACGTCAGTCGTTCGTATTTTATTTTCTGTGTAAACATGCCAAAAGTTTTCAAGTTGTTTAATAAAAATGTATATTTACCATACAATACACATCACCCACTACGTGTGTTTGATCGAAAAGTTGTTGGGAAAAAAATAGTTGTTACATACGAGTGCATTCCGAAAATGAAATAGGCATTTTGATTCTACGAACCGTTTCTACACTCGTGTTGTTGGTAATATAAAAGGCTGAAATAAGGTGAAGTAGAACGTGTTTTTAGGAAAACGTTAGTTTATTTTTTATTTCTACTCAAGAAAAAACTTGCAAAACGTTTTTTAACCGACCATATTGTTGTAATACCCGTAAGACGTGAAAAATAAGCATCCACAGTTTTTAATTAAAATTTAAAACATTTTCAATTATCGTGAAACGTACCAAACGTTTTGCTATCTCTATCGACCCAAATATTGTTAGTCCAGTACGCAGTCCAGATTACGGACAGCTTTCAATAAGTTTTGCTAGTACCTCGAGTTCATAAATAATTTATATCGGAGGGTTCTCGACAATTCGAATGGAAATACCGATACTCCTAGAAACTTCGTACATCTAAGATGTTTTGGTAAATCGAAAAGTAGATACAATTTTGTATTCTTCGCCTTTAAATTTCCAACTATAATATAATATGAAGTATACAGTAACTCGTATATTATTATTATTTTTTTTAGAAATACGCCTCGGAAACGTGGCCATTGTTATGATTTTTCGGTTTTTTTGTGCATGTTTCGATGTTTTGTTACAATACATTTTTTATATTAATTTAAGGTTCGTTTGATTGCCGTTTCATCTTGGCCTACGGATTGGCAAAGTATATTTTTACATAATAGCGTTGAAATTCTAAAATGTATTACAATACTTGGTCCGGCCACTTTATGAAAAATGTTTGCTAGGACGTTATATGGTAGTGTATATTATAAGTTTGTATAAAAATAAACTCAGGCTGAGGCCAGAGTTGGGCAAAATTTTATCTAGATAATTATTCGAATAAATATGTATTCGAATAAAAAATTATTCGATTGATTTTTTTTACAATTCTTCGAATAAAAATTTATTCGACTAATTTTCAAATACAATTATTCGAATAAAAAATTATTCGACTAATTTAGAAACAATATTATTGGAATAATTTGTGATCATAATATTATTTGAATAATTTTTAAACATAGTTATCCTATCTTAGTATTTATAATAGTAGTTAGTACTAATTACTAAATATGTATTATGAAATAATGATTATAATTCTTCTAGTTTGTTCATGTATTTAGTATTTACCTTTATAGTAATTAATTATCAATATTGAAGATGTTATTATTATATCTAGTTTAGTCCAGTTTCTGTACTATATTATATAGTCTCAGATATTTTCGTACTATGTACTAACTACGTATGTTCAATGTTGTATTTCATATTTATAAGTTCAAATATATAGAGCTCTACACATATTCAAATATTATTATATATATATATATATATATATATATATATTTCTTTACTTTCTTATATAAATCAATATTTGTTTTTTATTATACAATATTTTTAAATTTTTCCAAAAATTATTCAAATAATTTTTTATTCGGATAATTGTGTTTGAAAATCATTCGAATAATAATTTATTCGAATAATTGTGAAAAAATCATTCGAATAACAATTTATTCGAATAAAATGTTATCTAAATAATCATCTAAATAAAATTTTATTCGAATAACGCCCAACTCTGGCTGAGGCCTCAAAACGTTTTGGAATTACCCGATTGCATTTTTAACACTTCGGTGCCACTGTTGAGTTGAATTAATATAATTTGGTATTATGAATTTATAAATAAAAGTTTAAATAAAAATATTCTATCGTATGTACATTATAACATATATATATAAATAATATTAAGTTTTATAATCAATCTTATTATACTAAATGTATACGAAACGTACCTATACAACTCAAAGTTCAAGTTTGAAGCAAAAATGATTCGATAAAATCAAATCAAGTGGCAACGAACATGTGCGAACATTTTTATGAACCCGTGCGAACATAATAATGTCTACGTTGAATATCATGTTTTCCGTGATATCAAAAATAATATATAGATACGCTGCCAAACCGTTAAACTGTCGATGTTTGGTACACTATTATCGTCGATAGCGTTGAATAGAATTTTGTAATATTTCTTTTGGGTTTTCGTGATTTCGATGTCGATTGCGCAAGCGTAGAGACGATTTTTACATATTACGGTAAATGGACCAAAAAACTAAATACCAGCGGTCGGTACTCGAACAACAATCGGATTCAACACGATCGGGGACTTATCGGCGATTCGGATTTCAAAATATTTGTATCAGGATATAACGAATCGACTGGAGCCTAATGTAATCAACCTAACAGGGTTATCACGTAGGACAATTATATTTATATATGAGTACACTAGAGACGTTCCAAAATTCCGGGCGACCGTATTTGTCCTCATACCAGGGTTACCACCTTCCAGTTTCAAAAATACAGGCCATATATAATTTTTCGAGAATCGTTTTCAAATATTTATTATATTCATGTTTGATCCATTGGCATACCAACGGCTAACCAACGCGCTATACGGCTGCAAGACCTAGTTACGAAATAAGGCACAACAACGAATCCTCGAAAGTTCTGAAACGTGGCGTCGGAGAAGAACGCTGTGAGTGAGTGGGATAGAACCAACGAAAGCATAATTAGTGAAATAAACGAACGCAGGGAATGAACTTAAAACCATCGAAAACGATGGAACACGATTGGTCACACTATAGAGGCACAAACGCGAACTAGTTTATAGAATAATAGAAGGGTAATTATTGAAGGTAAGAGACACCAAAGGATGTGCGAGAACTTCATTTGTCAAGCGAATGATCTTCGACGTTAGACTGTCAAGAACTAAAGAGGTTAGTTGAACTCGGGGAACAGTGGTGAGCGCGTGTCCGACTGCGAAATCAACCATAGGGTTGAATGCAACAGTATGAAAGGGGGCATTTACGTCAAAGGGTTGAGAACCCTTGGTGGTTCAAAGCATAGACGCAACTAGGGGGTGCAATAGGGTTTTCAGCAGCCCCGAGTTCAAATGTAGCAATGCTGTTTTTTTTCTCAGATCCATACAACCTATAGTAATCACAGTTAAATACCATTTAGTTTTATTTTCAGCAATTTCAGCGCTCCCAATATTTGGGCTCTAGTTACCGTCCATGGTCCAAGGTGTATTTCAAGGTGTTGTGAGGTCGGTGAAAAATCGCGTGTCGACCGATACACGGTGTCGCGATCGTTTCGTATCGTAATGATTCGTGATGATCGATACGGGGAGAACCGCGTCATATCTTCCGGTGCCGTTTCGGTCCATCGCGCCGCGGAAAAACGCACCGGGGCGACGGATCATATTCCGGCGACGTCACCGCAATCGCCGGTTTGAACGCGGTCACCGAGCCGGTCTTGCTAAATGGTATCGGTTGTACGAAAACGCCACATTCTCGATTTATCATATTATTATGGTGACTCGTAGGCAATCATTATCTGTAATATCGTCTCGGTTTTGTGCGCACCAAGTATTTTGTTTCCATTGTGTACGTTTTCCCATACCGCTCGGTGGTCGTTAACACGAGTTTACACGTCATTCTGTTGTAACAATAAATATCCGCCGTCGAATTGATCACCCCTTACTATATTATACAATGATCGGTAATCAACGTTTTGCGATATTGGTACTAAAAATCGCAGACAAGTATGCACGATACGTTTCTTAATTGTCTCGCTAACTGTTTACATACAGTTCTACCGTGGACTGTGCCGTTTGACATGTTACGGTTTTTTTTTCTAATTTGTGATTAGTAGAACCCGGATTTATATGCATTTGCATGTTTGTACTAAGTGCATGCACGTCTACGGAGGTTTAAAATGTCCACGGTTCATTTAAAATCTTTTAAAAGATTTGTATTTCTTTTTACGTTTTCTATTAGTTTTTTGAAAGTAGCTAACTTCAAACGATCTAAAATATTAATTTTAGTTTTATTCTTTTTATTTTTATTCTCGTTTTTAAGTTTCCTAAAAGTTTTAGATTGATTTAAATTATTTGAAATACAAGGCAGTGGATATTATCATTTTTCTCGTTTTTGATAAAATATTTTGAATATTATTTGGTAAAAAAATGTGGTTTTTTTTTTTAAGTCTAATTGCATATTTAGCCATTTCTTCTTTGCATATTTGCATCATATTTGATACTTTTTAAATACATATAAATCCGAGATCTAGTGATTATGTTGTACGAGATCAAGATTTTATATTGAATTTATAAAAATTCTTTACAGTTCTATCGCTGGTTCATATGATACTATTAATAATGATTTCTATCTGTAGATCCGTTTTACCCATTCGGAATGTTAAATGTAAATGGTGTATAAATATATTTTTCTACGCCTTCACCTCCAACTATTTCGGGTAGGCCACCCTCATCCCTACTTCCACATGTCTCGATCCACCATACATTCTTCGCATACGTTAACCAGCTGCTGTCTTCCATCACTTCTAATCACATCCGATCTTTTTTCTTTACCCTACTCCTTTCTCTCTTTTCATTTACCTTCATTTAAACGTCAACCTTTCCATTACGTATATATATATACGTATATATTTATCTATAGTGGAATATACAACCCCTTTTAGAATTATTAACTAACATAAACAATTAAGACGGTAATCAAGTTCCCGCGAGATGTGTATGTGTACGGGATCATTGTGTTATATAACTGAACATATAATCATTAACCGACTACATTCTTCGATACGATTCGAACTGATGTTTTCCACATCGGACCGAATTTGAGCGAATTCCAATATGCCAATTTTACCCTTGTCAAATAGTGTTGTCGACTTTGAAGACGGTCTAAATCCGAGCACATAAGTTATTACTACAGGAATTGCGTTCGTTATTATTACGAAAACTGATGTGACCGAGATTTGAAATGGTTTGTTTGTGAAGAATCCTTGTATACGCGTAAGTGGTTACGGATAAGGCGAATAGAACGAGTTGGGTTTGAGTTTGTCGAAAATGAATTGACCGCAGTAAATAGTAAATGAAATGAAGAAAATAAAAGTTTTCGACATTGTCAAGGAAACGTTTTTGGGCATCTAGGCGAATATCGAACATTTTACTTTTCGAATTGTTTGGTACGTGTATCAACGCTTTAACTTCGAACGGCCAGTAACTTTTTCGGTTCTCTTTGAAACATTATACTTCGAATAATCATTTAGTGGGTATATTTTAATCGTTTGTGATTTCGCCAACATTCAAATCATTAGTAAATATCTACTATTTATTCCAATTAAACAATTTTTTCAAGATATTTTATGTAGTCATAAATTATTGTTGAATACTCCATAAAATAGTTGGGGAGTAATATTTGCTCAGATATTCTATAATCAATCACCACGAGAGGCTTAATAGATTACTTCTAAAACTCTATACGCATGAATTTTTTTTTTTTTCTAATTTCAATGTATTTGTGAACAGTATACATAAGATAAAAAAAGGAACTGAATTAATTACCTATAGGTATTTTCCATTCAAAAAAGTTTAATTTAATGAAAAAGTCAGATTCTGTTGTAATATTGAAACATCCACAAACGCTCCAACGTTCTTATTTGTAGCTCTCTATTATCCCATTCATTATAATTGTGTATAAACAGTAGACGTATAGATATTTTACAGTTGATGAAAACTAGTTTTAAATGTATTATAAATACGTAAAAATTACTATTTGTAGACTAAAAATAATAGGATAAATATTGATGTTATATTTGAGTTGATATTTTTCTGTAATTTTATTTTTGAATAATTATAACGATGGATTATTTTAATTATTTTGCATTTCCTAATGTCTATAATTATATCTACATATAATATATATATATATATAATTATTCGGGATCTTGAACGTTAATTTAATGGTCGCTAAAGAGCAAAATGAACGACCTATGTACAGGCTCGTTCCATTTTAGTTAACTTACGGGTGAAACCTCGCGTGCAAGCACTGTTGCCATTATGTTTTACGTTAGCAGCAATATAAATATTAAACACGTACATATTTTACCAACGCATAATATTAAAAGGTATAATAAGATCGATATCATTGATGAATTCAATGAATATTCTAACAATAAAATTCTAATATACCATCGTTAATTTTAATCTTACGATGTCAACCTAAATGTAAGTTGTTGTACAATAAGACTGTAAAGATCTTTTATAGTTGACAATTTGAAATTCTCTCTCTCTCTCTCTCTCTCTCTCTCTCTCCGTTGCACACGCGGGATAGATCGCGGAATCGCGTTTTCTATGTTCGTTTGATGTTTGATCGCGCGAATCGCCAGAGACAATAATACAACGCAGACACGAGTGGCGATCGGACGTTTACGACAAATTTACACGACTGTTGTCTGTCATCGACGAACCGTTCAGCCGCGCCACAGCGACGGCGGACGCACGACGTGACGGCGGGTGGCCATGGTCGTCCGACGTCTAATATGCATACAATGAGATTGGGTGTCGTCGGGCGATTTATCGGACGGAATAATGTACGGGTATCCGCGAGACTGACGTATAGTCGTTCAGCCCGACGGAGTAGGAATGAGTCCAGTGGCATGAGTTAGTTGTCGTAGACCCGAAACGTTTCGAACGAAAATCTTCGAAATCCGATTAAGGATTTCTTTCGCGAGAGGTAAAAAAAAAAATAAATAAATAAATACGCTGCATTACGAATTCCAATTCAACTCGTTCGGTTTTTTTTTCTCCTCTACGCGTGCGTAGTTCAACAAACAATTTATGAATGGGAACCTAATTTTATTTTACCCAACTGGACCGTCACATTTCTCTTGCATCGTTGATTTCAAGATTTTTTTCTGTTTAATAAAACGAACGAGAGCTGATTAAAATCCCGTTTTGCGGAATACGAGTAGATCCTGTTACAGTGTACACTAGCTGTGGTGTACCGACACCGTTTAGGGTCCGATTAGTTATTACCGTTTACAACCACTCTTTCGATGTTTGCAGTGCTCTACTAATTGGTTCAGATTTTATTCGGCCGACAGTGTATAAACAATAAATAAATGCGCAAAGTAGTAATATTACATTTTAACGTTGAGTAACAATCGTTAGTTTTCAAGAACACCCGTAGGAAATTACCCAACCCCTTCCCCTTCGGTACTCAACCCGTTCCGTGCCGATTTGCCTGGCACATTGCTGTTCCGATCTTCAAACGCGACTTTTATCACGTCAAGTATTACGAAATGATAAAATACGAATAGATAGTAACATAGACACTTCGGTACACTTAATACACGCGCGTCGTATCTTTTTGCTAATCGATTCTGTGCCAGATTGTTTGTATTACGTACGATCAGAGATACCGTGGTTGTTTTATGGGAAGAAAATGAGGTTTCACATATTGCAATAACTGTACTTTGGATAGAAATGAAAACGTATTACGAGTGTTGTAATGATCGTCGGTATATATTTTTTCCTTACTCATCTACGGAACATATCCAGTGCCGTAGGAAGACTCGCTAGTGCTCCTGGCAAACATAGAAAAAAATCGCTTTTTAACCAATTCAAATTTGATGTTATGATATTTTTTTTTTTACCTTTAATTTTATTTCATTTTTTTAAGTATATATTTTATACGAGTATTTATTAGTTATTATTACAGTGTTGATTTTAAACTTTGAAAATTTGTTTTTCTCGCTTTATTACTGGCCAATTCATCGATAGTTTCTTCAAATTACATTTTTTTTTTTAAATGCCCTTATCATGCCCCATCATGATTTCATCATTCAATTCACACTTAATGTGTACAAATAGACAACATCTACGCATTTCAAAAAGTATAATGGAAAAATTTCGATTTGATTGTCGGATAAAAATACGACTTTTGGCACGATTCTGCGCCCCTGTCGTAGACACAGTTCGTCATACCCTTTCTACGCCACTGAACATATACATTAATGTAGAGTTGGACTTAAAAGACGGCTAGCGGACGAGTCCCAAATATTGACCCACCACCCGTCCTTATTCATCCTCCCAGCGCAAGGTATGTGCCTATACATACCTGGCCGTA